ATTTTGCAGTTGGTTTCCAGGAAGCAAAACCATTTTCTCTCCTATTTTGTCCTCTGTTCCTAGTAAGGTTTACCTCCCCCCTTTTTTTTTTTTCTCCTTTTTCTCCACCCCCCCTGCCCCCGAAGAGTGCAAGTGCACTTGAGGAGTAAGTAGATCTCTAATTGAGATACCAACTCAGTCTCTCTCTATAGAGAGGTTGTCTCCCACCCACATGTAAAAGTTTTCCAGGACCTCAGCTTTGACAGGGGGAGAGGCGCTCACTGTTCCTGTCTTCAAGCCAACTCTGGCAAAACTTGTTTTTGGTTTTATGCCATGACAGCGTGTGTCTGTAGTAAGCTTACATGCATATGGTGGTTTCATATCTGGCCTGGTTTGTAGGGAATGTATCCACCTGCATCGTTACTGCCTGTCGTCTTTGGGGATGTTAGCTTGAGCGACCAGGCTTTTTGGTATTGGGGCACCCGGGGAACATTGCTCGTTGACACGATAGAGCTTGCACGGGTTTCAGAGTGGTGGGGAGGGTGTCTGCAAATGTTTTATCCTGTAGGTCTTGACAGTGGCTATCTGGTAGAAGAAGAGAAATGCGAAGCATGAGCAACTTCTTCCTTTAAGAGAAAAGCCGGTCGAACTTGGTGGTGTGGTTGGAGGTTGGCTTGGAGCTCTTGAGTCAACAGGAGAGCGGTCGGGATCAAACAGGAGAGCGGCTGGGGTAACCTGAATCCAGATGTGCAGCAGGACAAAACGTAGCTGCAATTTAATGGAGAATCTTGATTCCAACTTCTTTATTGTGACAGTTGTTCACTTTGAAAAATTCAAGTGTTAAACTCTTCTTTTCCAAATGTAGCATCTCTGTTTTGCTCTAGTTGCCTGCTTATGACTCATCATAGCCTTAACTTCCTGAAGAAAACTGAAAGCTTGAGAGAATTGCATGCATATTTCTATTTCTAATATGCTACTATTGAATACAAAATAAGAAGGAAAATGTACATGGAGTGAACATCAACATGGCTTTTAATGGCATGATAGGGTTTTTTTGTTTTTTTTTCTTTTATTAAAACACCCTGGTTAATTAAAGCTCAGTGTGATAAGCATAGAGTTTGTTGAGTGTAGGAAAACCTGTCTTGCAGGGAAATTGCTTGGGGTTTTTTTTAGTAGTTTTCTTCATTTGCCCCTATGTTTCATTAAAAGGGATGCAGGGGGAGAAATAATTCAATAAGACCTAACATTCACCAATAGGCTTCTACTGCATGACAGTCCCAAATGCAACTTAATTTGGCTGATTTTAGTAGATTTATTGCTAGTGTCACTCCCTGACCTGGCATGAAGCAGAGGAGTCCCAGTAAAATTTGGCCCAAAATCTGTACTGGATATAACAATCTGCTTCTTCAGAGGCTTCTGTCCTCTTGATCCTGTAGCAGGTTTTGGACTCTGACCGTTGTTTCGCTTGCCCAGATACATGGAGAGGTTTACCTGGGCAACTTGCAATGTATGAGGGTCTAAAATGTTATGTTACTTTAGGATATTCTCTATTTAGAGATAACCCCATGGGGAGTAGGAAAGATGAGCAACCTCTAAACCAAGTTCTAGGGAAAATGGGACAAATATAGCTAGTTGAGTCAAGTTCTGTGGGTCTTAATCTGCCAGAAGTCATCTGTGGTCAGAGGGAGGTGGCCTTCCAGGAGAGGAAGGCAGACAAAAGCTTTCCTCTCTGACCTGGACAGCACTAGCTGCACATGGTGGTTCACTCTTCCTTCTTTTGTGTGTGTGACCAGACTGCGTGCACCCAGTGGAGACATAAGTGAAACTTGCACACTGTTTTTGTAAGAAATGCGTATTTTCATATTCCATGAGTGGGTATAATATCTGTGCAAAATTCTTACGGTGCGGTGCAGCATGCCAGTATCAGTGTCTGCTGTGCAAACCTACTGCAATGCTTAGGTCAGCTGTGGCAGAGAGCTTTGTCTTTCCAAATGCCATTGAACTGCTGGCTTAGGATACAAGGCTAAAGCAACACAGATTAGTTGCCCTTGCAAGATGGAGCTTGAGAGAGGATATGATCAATGTCTGTGAGCACATCTGGAGGCAAATAAGAAGGGCTACTTAAGCTAAAAAAACAATGCTGGCAAAAAAAAGGGGAGGGGGGAGGGCAGCATGAGCTACACGTATGTTCAGGCTGTTGGTTTTGGAGATGGTTCCTAACCATTAGAGGAAGAAGATTCTGCTTCTTCTAGGGGAGAGTAAGGAGTAAAAATACTGCAACTGTTTTTAAGATAGAAGTCAATGTATTTGTGTGAGTAACTTGCATGCGGTGATGCAGGCAGCAGCAGGGATAGTGTGCAATGGCCCAAAAAGTCCTTGTCTATTCCTACTGTCTTAAATGAATCCTTGCAGAACATATAGCAAGCTGATACGTACCTATGTGTGTGTATACATATATATGTATAACGTATATAACGTGTGTATATATTTATAATATGTATTTTATATAAAATATAAAGAGGCACTCCCTGTACCTCATCTATTAAGAATTGGTTAGCTACAATTTCTTTTTTAAATGAGCTGATTTTTGGCATGCACATAGCTAATGAATATTCATAATTTTTGCCAGCTCTAATTTTAACCACTAGAGTCTTCATTACAGGACATGCACATAATTAAATAGCCTTCTTGAGAGTTCACAAACTGTCCTTACTCTCACCATTTACAGGTTTGAAATGATAAAAATATTATTTAAATGATCCTATAAAGCTACACCAGGCTAGAAAGGCAATATAATAAAATGTCATTCTCATAATCTCAGTGTTTTGTGGTGGACCCAAATTCTGGTCTGTGGTCTCATGCATGTGATTCAGTGAGGCCGAGAGCAGCTTCTTTCTGTGAAGTATTTGTGCACCTTGCATAGGCTGGCCTCAAATTCCGGGGAACGTGACCCACATCCATCAACAGCAACTGGTACCCAAATGGACCTTCGAAGCGTTTTAATGCCTAATTTAAAAAAGAATCCGCTCTTTACTAAGGCACAGTGAAGATGATGATAGTCCTGTTTTGTAGCATCCTAATTTATCCGCTTCACGTGTATGTTTCTGTACCTGTGTGTTTATATACTATCTGTGGTGTTTGCTACATCTGTCTAGCACAATATTATATGTCTTTGAGGCTAGTAGGGGACCTGTGGAGAGAATATTAAAAACAGACTAATGCACACAGCAAGGTGGCAGTCCCAGGCAGAACAAGCCCGTCTGTTTGACATCTCCTCCGCAGCAGGCACTCTAATGGCCGTACCTGCGCCCCTGGCTCTGTGATCCCCAGCCCAGGCTGCCGGGAAGCCGAGCTCCTGCGGGACGCGTGTCTGTGTGTGCGCCGTGCTCCTGTGTGGGGCTCGTGCGGCGCCCTGGGGAGGGCTGCGCCCCGTGCCACAGGGTTTGTGGCACACGGTCTCGTGCACGCTGTGCCCTGACACCCACCTGCGCCCCCCACAAGCACACGCAAACAGCAGCCGAGCGCAAGGGCAGGGAAGGCTCCAGCTCACTGATACCGGGATTTGCTGATTTTAAGGCAATGTAGAATGCAATGCATGTATTGTTTTAGAAATATGACCATTTTTGCTATTTAAAGCAAGTACCTTTTTAAAATTCTTCCCACTTGCCTTTAACTGGACTTGCAGCATCCTAACTTTGTGGCAAGCTGTGCCACTTGTGTAAACAAAAGGAGATTTCAGCTTTCCCTGTGAACCAGCTCAGTTGACCACCATCCCACACCGCTTCCCTGCGGCCCCTGGGGCCTTTGCTGCTGGGGGAGGAACTGGGGATTGGAGACGGGGGCACGAGAGCCCCACAGTGAGGCCCGCGCCAGCAGGGTGGTCCTGAGCACAAAGACGAGCCGCGTACGGAGTGCAAACAGGGAGAGACTCGGGCCAAAGTGTGCTCCATGTCCTGTATTTTGTTTAAAGCACCAATGATACACACACAGAAGTCGTCCAGCTCCCTTTATATAAACTTCTTGTTTTATTAAAACTAGTATTTTCACTCAAGTTTTTAAGGAATCCTTTATTTCACATGAACAAAAGCATCTCGCAGCAGGGCAACCCCTTGGGCTGTGCGGTTTAACCATCTCTGACCTGCTCCGGCAGCTCCTGCCTGCAAGCAGGACCACAAGGCTGGCCGCCCCCGCACCACACATGGGCCCAGCGCAGAATGAAACAAACTGCAGGGAACTGCAGTGAGTTAGAAATAAAACACGCATCACTGCTGGGGGTGGCTCCAGAGAGCAGTAGTAAGTAGCTTAATGTTTTTCAGATTGGACTGCCTCGGTCTTCCTCCAGGGATGGGAGGAGAGGTGGGATCCTGCCTGTGCTGGGGCTGGCAGGGCTGGGGCTCATCCCCTTTGCCCCCGCTCCCCGGGTGGTCTGGGGTCACATCAGTGCTGCCTGGCCGTGGCCACTTCTAGCACCAAGTGCACTGAGTGCAATGACATTTGGCCCTGGTGTCTCCCTGGACCCACCGTGACTCCCTGGGCGCAGGGATGGAGGTGCAGAAACCTGTGCCGAACCCCTGGCATGGGCAGCAGCCCCTCCTCTCCCACCTCTTTGGGGCCGGGTCTTGGGTCTGTTTGGGACTGGTGACACCCAGGGATTTCCACCTCTGGCCATGCTGAATTTCTCTTTTCTCCTAAGGGTCTCCAGCTGTGCACCTCACTGCAGGGGATGCTGCAGCCGCCCACCTCCCTGCAGAGCTCACATGGCCCCAGGCCATGCTGTTCCTGCAGGGAAGCCTGGGGTCAGTCCTGAAGCACCTCTCTGCCCAGCACCCGGGGCACCTTCGCCCACAGGTGCTTTTCTCCCCCTGCACCTCTGATACCCCTGTGGCAGGTGACCTGACCAGCAAACCCAGGAGAAGGAAGCTAGTGGGCTATACTAAGAGGAAAGCAACTGATTTTCTTAAATGCTCAGATGAAAATTGTTGATCAGTGTTAAGACTTCCCCCCCCGCCCCCTTTATGTACGTCCATTTCCAACACGGTTGCTGTGAAAACCCAAGCAGCCACTGGCAGGTCTGTGATGACAGCAGGAGCGAGAAGGCAGGATGCCTGCCGCAGAAGCAGGGGTGCTCCGCTGTGAAGTTCTGAGCCGTTTGTGCAGGGAGGGGCACACGCAGGTAGACACTAATAGCTTTTTGCCATGGTTTATAACCCAATTTCCATCCTTCATTGCTTGCCTTCTGGAGCACTTAGTGCCCTGAAGAACACCCAAGAGTGGAGAGAATTTGCACTGCTCAGCAGACTCACAAGTATCTTTGCTTTAACTGCTATAAAGCTCTTTTTTTTTTTTTTTTTTTTTTTAGAAAAATTTATTTTATTTTTAAACACAGCAGAGTGCTACCAGGTTATCATCTTGGCACATACTCTCTGGGCAGCCCTGTGAAGTTTCTTCCCCTCAGGGCTTCATCCACTGTCAGGATGTATCTGTTGATAAGATCTTTCATTTCCTGGGTGAATGGCTCAAAATCCTTTTGCTTAGCACCAGACCGCTTGAAATTCCCATCCCTGTTGTTCTCAACGCAGAGCAGTCGGTCCTCTGTCACTGTCATATTCAGAAACTCCACCATTTCCTTCAGCTTGGGGATGAGGCTCTGCTTCAGGTCCTCATAGTGGACGATGAGCAGGCGCTTCCCGTACTTCAGCCAGTCCAGGACGTGGGAGGCCCACCAGGAGGCATAGCTGTTCACAAAATCGGGCCACTCTAAAGAACCGGAAAACCAGGAAAATGAGACAACATTAGCCATGCTGCGTTTCAACAGTTTTCCAAATGTTATCTTGTGCAACAAGGCTGGAGTTGCTGGGTATGGTCTGATGCTGCTGGATAGGCATGCGCTGGAGAAGCACAGTGTGGCCGGCTGCTGGGTACGTCAGCTCAGCTTTGCAGCTTCTGGCACGGAGGCAGAAGATGCTTAACTCTTCTGCCCCCCAGTCACCTGGACTGTGCAGGCTTCATGGCTCTTAACAGGGCTGGGAGAGTCACCAAGCTGCCTAGGACGCCCCGATGGAGGGACAGGGCACGGCAGCGGCCAGGTGGGCAGAGCTGCAACTTTGCATCTTTACTGTGCCTTATTTGTAGGAGTTGAGCTCTCTGTGCATGCCATCGGTGTGTGCACCGGGCAGGTGGCTCCACGCAGGGGCTGGGGGAGGACAGAACGCGCCAGGGGAAGAGTTTGACTGAAAGCCTGTGAAGGGATATGAGCAGGGAAGGCAGCTGGTCCCGCTTGGATGGTGGCTTAAGCAATGCTTTGCCATGTAACTTCAAGCAGATTCTTTTACTTCTGTGGTTTTCCTACCCTTTTACCTCCATTTCAAATGTAGACTGAGAAAGAGACAGGTTTATTTTTTAATATACATGTAAACAAATAATATATAATAATTATATAATAATATATTAACATTTTTATTATGTAAATGCAACATCAAGACACTGATCTTGGCTGGGACCCAAGGTGTTCTTGATTTCCAAATCTGTCGAATAACTTATCTTTCTGCATGCTTACCAGCCTGTTTATGGGGAGACTGGATAAGGAAATGGGATTAATAGGGAAGATTCTTCTGTTCCTGGCACATGGGAGGGATTTAGGGTCACCTGCCAGGATCACTGGGACAGAATTTACTGAATTAATTTTCCCACCTTTGCCTTGGGCATTAATGAGACCTCAATCTCTATCTGCTCTCTCTGATAATTTAATTTTCCAAGGGTCAAGATAGTCCTAGCTAAAGCTTTTGGGCTGGACAAAGAGCATTTGTGGCTGAAATGTGACAATTTGTAGTTTGCAGTATGGAAAAGCCGTTCCCTCCAGACTTTTTCTCTTTTGTAAGGGCTATTTTGTCTGGTTTTTTGATGAATAGGTCTTGAGTTTTGATTGATGAAAGGTGATACATGAACTTGGGAAAGAAATATGCTGTGACAGAGGACACTTCCCTCCCAGCCCCCCATGGCCCTGTGCTGCGTGGTTTGCCAAGCCACAGCTGTAATGCCTAAAATACACACGAAGAGAAATGCAAGCTGAATCTCTTCTCTGCCGCAGAGTCTGAATGCAGCAGTGTATTCAGTAGGGAAATTGTAGTCACACCATCCAGCTTGCCAGTCAAATGCACGAAGCGTGGCAGGCATATTCTGAAGTCTTTTCATATGTTCAAGGAACACCGAATCTCAAGTCCCCTTATTGCTATTATCCTGATTTATCTGCAGTGCAGTAGCACCTGTGCAGTGCTGTAAAATTTCCTTCAGGAAATGTCATGCTCCATTGAATCCTCCAAATATTAAATTAGATTTCTCATGGTTATTACATGCTGCAGGGGCAAATTTTCTTTACCTCGCATAGCTTGGCAAATGGGCTGTACGCAGGGGTGTTGTACCTGGACATGTTTTCTCTGCCAAACAGTATGATGGCAGCAACGTTGCTGCATGCCTGTGGCCACAGCATTGGTGCTGCGCTACCCTCCTCTCCATGGTGGTGGATGTGTGGCAAGACCACAACCACTCCCAGAGTGCAGGTCTGAATGCTTTTGGGACTGATCTGGCTGTGGTGGAACTCAAGTCCCACTGAATTTGTTTGCAGTGCTGACTCAGGTCCCAGTGTGTTACCCCCTTCCCAGCATGCCGAGAAGATAAGTTTCAAACTGTGTCCAAAGTGGCAGCGAGCACCCCCAGCCCGCGCTGGGGCAGCACGTTACCTTTGCTCTTCCAGTTGCGGTCGGTGGCGTACCCCAGGTGCCCGGCATATTTCCTGTTGAACTCCGCCATCAGCGACTTGTATGGATTCCTTATCAACAGGATCGCCGAGTCGAACATTTCAATCTCCGTCTTGCCACTTTCGTGTGTTTTCACACAGATGGTCCTTCTACTTCTCCAGTGGTCTTTTTCTCCTTTAAAACCTGTTTTACAAGACAGGATTGTTGGCTTTTTCACTTGATTATATGTCTGTGCCTTTTCACACTCTAAATCATTCCCTACAGTGGTGTAAAACTGTTGTGAAAGTACAAGTCAATTAAACCCATCACCCAGGACCTGGGACCAGGGCTGAATTTTATTCCTGGCCTGCCACTGATTTGCAAGGCTTATTGACTTTATTTGGTTGGGAACCATCTTCTTGCGTGCTTCTCCATGCCTGCCATAAGGAGGACCCTGTCCCTGGCGGGAGCCCCAGCTGCTGAGCGGGGCATGCGCTGGGAGCCAGGCTTTCCTCTGCTGGGGAGCACTTCGTCGGCACCTTGCTGCAAAAGGGCTGTTTTTCACAGGACCAGTGCTTGGCGCTTGCTAAATACAGTGCCCCCTCAGGATAGTGTCCTCCCAGAATAATTAGTAACATTTAAAAATTCAACCCTTGTGTTTCATGTGCTACTGAAGGGTTTAGTCAGCCTTCTCAGGGTTTAGTCAACTTAGTGCTTAGCGAATACAGAATACAGTGCCCCCTCAGGATAGTGTCCTCCCAGAATAATATTTATAAATACAGTGCCCCCTCAGGATAGTGTCCTCCCAGAATAATTAGTAACATTTAAAAATTACCCTTGTGTCCAGTGCTTGGCGCTTGCTAAATACAGTGCCCCCTCAGGATAGTGTCCTCCCAGAATAATTAGTAACATTTAAAAATTCAACCCTTGTGTTTCATGTGCTACTGAAGGGTTTAGTCAGCCTTCTCAGGGTTTAGTCAACTTCTTTTACTCAACTGGTCTTTTGGACCAGTCTTTTAGATGGGAGCTGCACATGTGCATGTGCACAGCAGCACCAGTGCAGGCGACACGCAAATTTTGCAAATCAAGAGCCTGGCTGTTGTCTGTGAAAGTAGCTGCCTGTCAGGCTCAGCACGCTGCTGGAGCAGTCCCTGCTGCTGTATGCACCACGTGAGACCGCTTGTTCCAGGCACGTGTTTAAATTTTACCACATGTGCTGACAGTGCCAGCCTTTGCTGGCTCCAAGCAGAAGGATGTCAGAGAGAGTAAGTAAAGCTTCATGCCTTGGAAGGGCTTTGTGTGTCCCATCCCTCTGGATACGGTACCTTTGTTGTAGAGGGCTCCATCGAAGTAATAGCTTCCCGTGTAGTATCCTGTGGCATGCTCTATCAAATGGCGAGCCCACGTATTCCCAGCCCCAGGAAAGCTTGACAAAGCAACGAACACTTTGGATTTGGTGGTTAAGAATTTCCTGTCTGTGCAGCGGGTGTCTGTGAGTACAGAAGATATTTCATTGTTAGCATTGTGGCTTTTTAATAATTCCACTGACAGCTCTTGATTACAGGGTTTATTGCTTCTTTCTTCTCTTTCTTACGAATATAGGATATCAATTTGAGTCCAGTTGTGAGTCAGCTACTTCCCAAAATTAATTCAGCCATAAGAGGCCAAAGAGATTATCCTCAGAAGAGGTTTTTGCTGGTTTTGTGTTAGGCAATGCTTTTTTGATAGAGCTGCAGCAAACCATTGTACTTGCCAGCAAGTTGTGATAAAAGCCCCTTGATGCCTGTTTGTTAATGGCTATTTGCCTGGCAGGTTGGCTCTTCAATGAAACCCTAAATGTGCCATTACACCTGGAAATTGCGAGTTTTATAACGCAGGAGAAACCTCTCCTAGTGAAAGGAGCTGGCGTTCAGTTAAACCTCTAGGCTGTCATTCCTCTCCGAAGGGCCCAAGGCAGTGACGAGCCCACATTGCGTTAATCTCCCATGGGGGCTAGACACCTGGTTTCCATACATGCTTTCGTAAATCCTAACCTTATTTCTTAGCGTGGCAATAAAAGAAAGGATAGGATAAGAACCAATCTTGACCCTCTGTGATGATTCAAAAAGAAGCCAGGAAATAAATTAGAAATTATGCTCTTCATTCTTCAAAGCAGCCTCTAGATGAAGCCATGACTAGAAAGTGCCAGCACAGTCCAGAGGAGGCTGTCTTCTGCTACTACTGACCTACACAGATGTGGGAAGTACTAGCAATTTCATGAAAGCAAGTGTTCTTCTTGCATGATCTTTTCACGTGCTGGTGTTTGCAGTCTACCTCTGAACTGGGAGATGGAGGAAAAAAAGGGTGTTGGAGAAAAAAAGCCCAGCACCAATCCCCAAAAGCACTTAATTTGTTTAATTTTAAGCATGAGGAGTTTCACTAAACTCAGTGCAAATCATTGCATGGATAAAGTTGCCAGTACCACCTAAATGGTTTACTGGATTGGAGCCTTACTCTCTGCTTTATTTTCCGGCTTTGAAACATGTGTGCAGATGAATATTTTAGAGCAAGATGGGTAGAGCAAAATTAGTGTCTGCAGAGCTGCCTTGGTGGCTGTGTAACGTGGGGGCTAGGTGTGTGTTTAACGAGCAGGACTGGAACCAGAGTATGGGGTCCTTGCCCCTGATGCCCGGGGTGCTGCATGGTTCGGGGTATGCCTTCCCAGGCTCTGCCTTGTTCTCTCCATCTGCAAAATAATTGTATTTTTCCAGGGTGGGGGGAGGCTGTGCTGCTTAATGAGAGAATGGAAAGATGCATATTTACGAGCACGATTGCAAGGGGGGGTTTAGATAAGGGCTGTTTGCTAAATTCCTGCCTGTATTGTGATACCAACCATTGTGGCTAAGACTGCTGTAAACTAGATCACTTTTACCCACTGCAGAAGGGACGCATGGGCTATTTCCAGCAGTGGTGGGTCTGGCCCTGGCACGAGGCTGGAGCTCGTACCTTGCACTGGTGTCTGATAGACCAGGCAGTATTTTCCCTCGGCGTTACTGCTGGTGTTGTGCATCCCACTGCAGAGCAGCCTGTCTGCGCCGTCGTGCAGCGAGAAGCGCCCGGTGGGGTAGCCGCAGTAGCACTCCTGCCCTTGGATGACTGCCAAGGGAAACTCCTACGAAAGAGAGAAAATAGATCAGTGCGTAAATGCCATGGCATCAACAGCCTGCGGGGAATGCTGCTGTTACACAAAGAAAAATAAATCTTCACAAGGCTACTGTCAAGATGAAAGCAGTGTTTGAGATATCATTGTAAGGGTCATGCTTATACCACTACTGTCTTTCGTATGGCAATTTCTTAAAAACTGGTTTTCACACACAAGCCTTGTAAAGCTTGAAAAGTCACAATATTCTGGCTTTTTTCATTATTCATAAAAATAATTTTATAATATTCCTGCAGCACCTAGGACATAATTCCACCTGCAAAACATCAGTGTGGGAAAAGCTGTTCTTATTTACCCCCAAAATGAACATTTTGAATTGGATCATCTTTTAAACTTCTATTTATATTCCCCCAAACTGAGGAGTCAGCTGTTAAAAGGTTTGCCTTATTCAGTTGATTTTACCAGAGTTTGTGTGGAGGAAACTTGCCCTTAAACTTAAAGAATTTAAGCAAAGAAGGAAATTTAGACCCACTAACTGCTGCAATCATGTTTAAAAATAGAAAGAAAAAAGTCAAGCCATAAAAAAAGTATGCACCTTGGTCTGACTTCTTCACAGTTTGCAAAAAATGAATGTGCGTAGAGCGGCTGATACAGAGTCTGAGAACTACTGTGTATATTTTTTGAAAAACTATTTAGAAATACGATACCAAGTAATTTTTGGTACATCTATTCAGAGGGACTGTGCTGACGGTGAACATGGGGCTGCACCAGAAAAGGCAGAGGCGGAAGGGGACCTGCGGTGCCTGAGTGCAGCTGTAGTTGTACCTGGTGCTGGGAGTGAGCTAAAGGCACGCACGGCTCTGCCTGCTGGTGCACGCAGCGTTAGCTCAGCTGGCGCCTGGCTCTGTCTTCAGGCATGGACACTTCTTGTTTTATGTTACCTTGCTTCTAGATAGGGAAATCTCACATGAAATCCAGACTGACTGCTGTGAATGACAGGTATCTCAGCAGAGCATAAAATGTTCAACTACAAGAAAGATATATGTAGTGTTCATTGCAAGGAAACAACTCCCCAGGAAAATTTCTGGCTGTAAGAAATTTCTTTTCAATGGATATGAAGAAAAGTAATTCAGGTTTTGGTGTACCGGTCTTACCCAAAACAGGCAACAGGCTGCAAAGCAGCGTTGCTATGTGGTGGCAGAGCAGTGAGGCTGAGCTGCTGGGCTAATATTGATGAGAATTAAGAGAAGTTTGAGGGAAATGCGTGCTAATTATTTGCTGAAGAAATTAGTAGTTGCTTATGTGCTCAATAGGAAAAGCATGCTTACTAGTTTGCTGAAACTGGCCCTAAAATTCAGTCTTTCTCCTCTTTACCAGGAAGACTGGGTTTTTTTTTCCTTGGATTTCCAAAGTTCCCCTGATGGATTGCTCAGTGGCACGGCGGTGCATTGGCGTGCATGGATGGGCTCGGTGCAGCCACAGAATGGCTGAAGGAAGCTCAGGGGTTATTCGAGCACAGAGCGTTCAATTCCACCCATTCCATATCAACACTTTTTGCCTTTTAAAAGTCTTTTGGATTCTGGGAGTGTGTGACAGAACTGCTGAGCAGCTTATCTCTTGCTCTTCCCCACATGTTCATCCTCTGATAAGGAGTCAAATACAACACATGTGCCATCTGTGCCCAAACAGCCAACATTTGCTTAGTGAATGAGATATGACATAGTCAAAAACTATTTACAGATTTGATCTAAGGACAAAATAGTTCTGTTTCTGCTTGCAAACAGAAATTTTTCCTTTACAATGAAACAGCCTTTCTCAGTTTGAGAAATTAGTAAGTGTCCCGGCCATCAAACACAGCCTAGAATAAAAATGTACCTTGTACCTCGTGCCAAGTGGCACCTGCAAGCGATTGACTTTTCTGGAAGGCTGGAGGTTTTGTGAAGAGACCTATGCAAACGCTTCTCTGTATCTCTGCATCTGCAGAAGCACTGGGCAATATGGTGCTGTTCTGCAGCTACTCTGCATGAGGTTCAGGGTAATGGAGGTGCGGGGTGCCCAGCCCTTTGGGAGCCAGGGGCAGTCGGGCTGTCCCGCGCCTGTGCAGCCTTCCTGCTGCTTGGGCAGCAAGTGGTTGGAGGAAGGGCAGAAACAGGGAGTGGGCTTCACAAATGAAAGTTTCAAAGTTTCAGTGACGGCAGCACACGCGCTGAAAGAAGCACGACAGTAGTTCTGGTAATCGCACCAGGATCCACAGCGTTGGTGCAAAGTGCTGTCATCAGCCGGCTGATTATTCAGACTGTGAGTCCACCTGATACAGCGCACAAAGTGAGACTGCAAAGTAACATATTCAATCTTGATTTCCCATCAGTATTTAATCAAAACTACAAGCCATCCACTTTGCTCACCTGTGTATTTATGTATGCCCCGAGCTGTGGTTATGGCTTTAAGCAACCATCTAACTTTTAAGTGCCGGACTCCAGCTCAGCACACACAAATCTGCGATGCCTCACTTCAGTTAAACACAAGTATATCACCAGAGAAATCTGCGGGTCTGTGAATAAGCATTTTTCTGGATTGAGCTTTAGAGCATGCATTGACAGGCTTAGGCGTCCATCCTGCAAGCTGTAATTCAGTGTAATTCAGAGTTGATGTCGATGGGCCTATTTACATAAGAATTTGTTAGATGAAGCCTCAACAGGTAGTTTAAGTGCTGTAAGGAAAGCAATCATTCTCCAATAGCAACACAGACGATGTGATGATTCAATCGCTAATTGTTTTTTATTAGATTGTATTCAAATTAAGAATTATTAAATTCTTAAAGAAAGAAATGTAAAAGATTAAAAATACACTTAACTGGTTCTACTCTGATTACTCTGCTAAATTGCTGTCTTTTCCAACTTCCTATACTATCCTATCTGACGCAGTTAAAATTTTTCTCTTAATCTACCAAAAAGAATAAGAGATGGGGGCTAATCATGGAAGGGAATTTCTCTCCCAAGTAAAAATTATGGGTTTGGTTTATTTAAAAATGGGCATGTTCATTTTGCAACAAACCTAGAAGTCATTCTTCAAGTTTTCATTGAACTGGATATGCTAAGAGCAAAGAATAAATACTATAAAGCCAATCATGCCCTCGCATAAAAATTCTGGCTTGTTTTACACTGTGATCTGTTGAGGCCAGGGGACAATTCCTCAGTGTGCTGTTATACCCAATATGACCCTAATTTGAAATACTCCTCTCTCACTGCTGCAATAAAGTCTGAGAGGCTGTGGTTATCTGCGCCAGTTGAGGTTCTGGCCTACTTATCTTTGTTTTATTGTGTTTAAAAAAAAATCTAAATGAAGCTATGGAAACACTCTATATGAATTCTACAATGGGATTTTGATCAAAATCCTAGGAGTCTTTTGTTTATGGGTAAATAATGGCATGTAGCTACATCTGGAATCCAAAATAGCAGGTCTATTTTTGAAATAAGAAGATTGCTGTATTCTGTATATTGCTGTATAAAGAAAAGAAAAAGCACCTTAGAGTTGGTAATGTTCAAGTATGCAAACTTGCTGGCATGGCTTTTGGATGCATTGAGATACTGGGGTTCTGTCCTCAGACTTAGTGTTCTTCCAGATTTTATTCATATTATCATGTATTACTGCATACAGCACCTGAATGGTAAAAGGACTGTTTATTTAAAAATATAAATTCAAATGGAGATGGCTCGTTTAGTATGCAGGTGGGCTTATAAAAGAGCATATATGAAAATTATGGCTTCTGGCCAAGGGACCTAGCACAGAAACACATTCATGGATCTGTGTTACGAGGTGATAATGGGTTACTATTAAGCCATGTCATCATTCTGTTAATTAAGAAAAAAATTTATAATTAAGGGTATTTAGCAGGTTTCATCTGAAGCTGTTACATCAAATTCATATCTCAAATGCTTCCAAGGGCTGGAGCTACCATTTCAGCTGCACAAAGCAATTTGCAAGGCTAACAAATAAATATGGTATGCCTCAATTTGCTTTTCTTCTAAGTCCCAAAGAGCAAAAGACTTATTCATATGTTCAACTTTAAGCATCCAACTAGTTCCATTTAAAAGCCCACTAGCTTTTTCAGGACACGCAGAAATTGTTGGGATAGTTCCTTTCAGCATAACAGGAGGGACTAAAATGACAGTGCCGTCTTGATTTCAGAAGAGCTAAGTATGTTGCTATTGGCTAGGAAGTTGTCCATCTTATTTTGAAAGGAAAGGAACCTAAGTCGGGACAAATGTTTGTAGTGTCATAATAGGACTTGTTTTGGTATCTAGAGTTAAAGCTCAAATCAGTGTGTAACAACTGGACTTGTGGATATGCAATTGCTGCTTCTTAAGTTGGAGGGAGACCTTGCCAGTCTTTTTGTAGGCAAATATTCTCTAATAATCATTTTCCAAAGGGTAGCATGGTGCCTGGCAGAGCTAAAGGAGGGCGGGGAAGGATAAGCAGGTTGTTACCTGCACCATTTTAGGGAAGGAATAAATGAGAGAGGTACCAAACCTTTTCTTCACCTTCCTTCAGTACCTTTTCCTCTTGATGTTACCATTTCTGCAGCCCTCTCCATGCCCTCTGTGCAGAAAGAGTCTTTAGATAATCCCTTAGAATATCTGGTTTGCTGATGGCTTTCTCACACAAGCTTCATCAAGCCAATATGCATTGGCTCTAACTCTGGAAAGACACTAGCTGCTCTGCAGAGATGGACAGTTTCCTCCATCCTGCTGCTCTCCTCTATCCTAGTCCTGTTCGAATGTCACACTAATGTGGTACATTTTGGTTGTGGTCTTTTTCCTATCCTTCTCAGTCACAAGTAATTTCAGATGCTTCCACTTTTTGGCTGCATGGCCAGAAAACCTTGAAGGAACTATACTTCTGAAAACCCATTTATTTAGAAAAGTCATCTCCCAAAACCAGAATGGCATAACTGTGCTTAAAAACATTGACCTCATGTTTGAGCACATCTGAAAACAACTTCTCCAGATATTTCATACCATTCTCCCAGATAGGGAAGCAATAATTAATTGCACTTCATCAGTAAATATTAATAAAATGATGTTACATGTGGGTAAACTGACACAGAAAGACTAAGATTTTTTTCCACCATTAAACAACAGATTAATGGCAGAGCTTGGAAAGAATTGCTCATGAAGTCCTGCTTTACTGAACATTTATATGCATAGAGGATGTGAAGAGTGTGTTTGTATGCATGTTTGTAAGGTACTATATACAGAGTATATGGGTGATTCACTGCAATTCGTTGCACAGAGTTAATTCTATGATGCGTTCTTAAAACACTGATGAGCTCATATAGAGGATATGTTGACTGGCAAAAGCTTTCCCACTCTACCTAGTAATTAAGAAGATTTGTTGTTCATGCCTTAATTGTTTTAATCAATTTTGTGATGCTAGAAGACAAAGTAATTGAATGTTCAGTTTAGTGCATGAGGCTGAATGTGGCTGCAGGCTAAATCTGACCACACAGTGAACCCTCCTCTATTAAAAAAAAAAAAAAAAAAGCCCCATTGGAGTGGCGAGGAAGGGAAGGGAACCAACCACAGCAACAGCCACTAAAGCAGAGGGTGCCCTGGACCAAACGTTCCCTCCCCCTGAGGATACCCAAGTCCGTCAAAGTCAAACTCCTTCAGTTCTTAAATCCATGGTCTTACTCTGTCATAAGTGTGGAGAATGAGCAAAGGTGATGCTTCAGGCCAAGAGTATGCACAAGGACAGTGGATGTTAGCATGTCCCTTCTCACCTTCTGTCCAAAGCCAATAAGCACACAGCTGACCTTATTTGTTGCTTTTTTGTAGTCTTATATATCGGCATGAAGTCCTACAATGAGTCCATTTTAAATTAAAATTTATTAGATTTAAATTACATAGGTTATAGTGAAAGTGGTATAAATTCTTCTGGTGTGGAAAGAGACACATTTGTATAAAAGTACCAGGAAAGTCCACCTGCATTCAGTGTGCTTATCTGCTAAAATTTTTCTATGGCAGCCTTTTTTTTTGTATTTAAGATTGTATCACGTTCCTAGCCAACACAGTTACACACTGGTGTAAAAATTGTGTGTAGATACCTCAGCATTAAATCCTCTTGTTTGTTATGGCAATGCCTGCTGCTGGACTGTCAAGGAGCCTGAGACCAAAAGGACCACCTTGGAGGGGAGCACACAGGGCTGCACAAAGTGGAGGGTGCTGGGGATCGCTTCTCCCTGCCCTGCCCTGCCCATGCACTGCACGTGGCTCCCCGAGGGCTGAGTGGGGACCAGCTCCCTGGAGGGCACTGGAGCCACATTTCGGGTGCTGCTCAGCCCACATCCACCCTCCAGCAGCATGTCTCCCCATGAGCCACAGCCACTGAGACCTCCCCCGGGTCAGATCTGGCTCTGGGCTTGGTTTGAATGTGACACGGAAATGGTATCGATTTCCTCATGGTCGATACTCGTCACGTAGAATGGCTTTTCTGTGCATCATATTTAGTGGCATCGCTCTGATGGCTTTCCCTCCCACCTTCCCCACTCAAGAGAGCAGTTGGACCAGATGCATCACTGGGTATTTACTCTGATGAGTTTTGTCCTTTAGAAACTCATTTACAAATTCAAAGCTCTAAGGCACTAATCTCTGCTATTCCCTTAGTAGATTAAAATTTAAAATAACAAAAAAGAAGAAAGGATGTGAAATGAGAACTGTTCTTACTTTCTTGGAGCAAAATTCAGAGCACATCTCCACCGTCAAATTGGGCTGTATCAAAGAGGCTGGAAAGGTGTCTGTTAAATTTTCTGGAGCTCTAAAACATCCTCGATAGATAACATTCCTCCCTGCAGGGATATGAAATAGGTTTCTCTTGAGAAAACAATGTCCGTAGTATCCTGCCTCCTTCACAAAGAACAATATTAGGTTCAGAAGCTAAAAATAATAAAAGAAATTTTATATTCCAAATGCTGTAAAAATAAGAGAAACCATGATATACACTAGAAAAATGTGTTGCAAATCCTGTGGTATTGAAAGGAGCACATGCCTTTAGCTTTGTACTAACCACTGAAAGTAGGGCTGCAGCAAAGAGTTTAAATTAAATTCCACCAGTGGAGGGCATTGCTATTGTTTGCAAGTCCCAGTTTTCTTTTGAAGACAAGCTTTCCCGTGAAAGACTTAAAAGCCACGATAAAAATCTATAAAGCTTCCCATGATCTGCACCAGAAAGGGAAAGGAATTTAAATGAATCCTGAAAGCCCCCACAGGGACCCACCTTCCTGCACATCTGCTCAGTTGCTGAGCTATCCCTCTCCTCTTCCCACTCTTTCTTTTCAGGGCAAGGGTGTTTGCTGCAGCCTTCGAAATCTAAACTAGGCTTTTGTAAGCTGTTTAGGGAGAACAGCTTTCTTCAAGTCTTTAGCATCAGCCTCTGATCTCACCTGCTCCTGTATAAATGCCAGAGAGCTTGGCAGAATTGCTCCATTTTTTGCATCACTGTGATTGAAGTCAGGATTTGGCCCAAATACTTGTTATAAGCAGCAATACAATTTTCCTTCCTGCTTAAGAGAGAAATGTCCCCTGACAGAACCAAACAAAACCCCAGATCTGTCATGGAAACTCACTACCCCAGGTGAGGCAATGCATTTGCACAGATTAACTAATGGTAATGAAGAAAATAACATTATGTGGCTGGTTAGAAAAAGAAAAAAGTCTGCATGTTGTATGACACTTCTGTAATTCTTAGGATTTTGTGGGCTTTACAAAGGTGGAAAATGCTTTTACTTCATCGCTGTGTACTAACTCTCTATTGATAGAATTTGCCTAGCACGACTCAATAGGGAGAAAAGTGGATTTGGGAATGAATTTAGGTCCTCTGAGGCCTGGTCCGCACCCACTGGCTACCTTAAACAATACTCACTAGAGCTGATGTGGGAAATATGTTGGATGACAGGAGAGATGCAGTGCAGTTTTGATGGAAAAATTTGGTTCTGCATGAATTTCCTGGCAGAAGGGCCCAGATTCTCCAGCATGAGCCAAGAGCAATCTAAGGAGAAGCTGCTTAAATATTATTCTAATAACTGTTCAAACCAGTTACTAGAAGCAATCCTATATCTTTGGGATCACTCAGGAGATGTGAAAATGAAATAACTTAATGCAAGTTGGGGGGAAACAGGAGTCTCCCTGGGACCAGATCACTGCAAGCACAGCACCAAAGAATAAAACAACTGAAGTTTTTTGGCTTCTCAGGATGCTCTTGAAAGACTTCCTACTAAATCTCACACTAATATTTAATTCCTGAAACAAAATATTTATGAACATGTTTAGAGTTGCCTCAGCGGGTCAGGAAGAAAGCTTGAACTGCCCACACCAGCACTCGGGAGGGAGCAGGGTTTGCAGAGAACCCACGTATCACACTGGAAATGTGCTGTATTTATGTCGTCTGCCTACTTTCTAGGGAAGGATGGCTGAATCCTGCCATGAGGAAAATGGCACTCTGTGCCACAGCGATCCCTGGGCTGCAGTAGCTGCAGACTTTGAGCTTCACTGCATTTAACATGATGTGGGGGCATGAGTCCTGCGGTGCAGAAGCTGCGCAGCTCATGGCGCCCAGGGAGCCAGGGTGGGAAGGGGGAGGCGAGGAACAGAGAGGTGAGCCAGCAAACTGCATGTCTAGGAAGGTTTAAATGGAGATGCCACTGGATCTGCTCTGCATAAGGAGAAGCCTTATGCAAGGTCTGTTCCCTATATTGCATAGTGTAAATCACAGATGCTGTTACAGTTTCAGAGTTACTTTCCAATATACTTGCTCAGTGTGATTAATACTCCTGTTGGCCCACTCCAGTGTCAGTGGGATTCTTCAAACAGTCAAATATCAGGTATTACTAAGGGCAAACAAAATACAAATCTAGCTTCAGGCTAGAGTAATTTGATGACTAATTCATTAATACTTAAGAAAAAAATAAATGCCGCCTTTTCCTGTGAAACATGTGTATATATTTTATGCTGAAGATTTAAACAGTGATGCATGTCCTGGGAAACCTGCCAATGTGCCTGTCAGCCTGACACTAGCAATTTAGGTCTATGTACCTTTGATATATAATTTATATGTAGCTGGGTGGATTATTGTACAAACCTTGACTTGTCTTTAAGAAGAAATGAAGTACCATCAATACTGGCACAACCTAAGGTCTTGGTGCTTCTTCTCAGCAAATGACATCTGTTAAGGTCTTGTGAGCTTGCCAAAAGTAAAGACTGCTCGGCTGTTTAGATATTTTATATGCTTTGTGTTGGCCCAAAGGTTTATCTATTTTATCTCCTGTGGTAGCTAATTGAATGACAAGTAGAGTAAGTGTTGTCATCTAAAGATGAAACAACAATCCCAAAAACCGCTAGAACAGAAGTCCTTGGAAAAGCAAAACTCTGTGGTCTCATTTCTCTCACTTAGGAGAGAGATTGGTGTGCCTTTCTCTCTGGCCTCTACTTATTCTCCTGCTGCAGTCACATAGCACTTATTTTCATAGATTCATAGAATAGTTTGGGTTGGAAGGGACCTTTAAAGGTCATCTAGTCCAACCCCCTTGTAGTGAGCAGGGACATCTTCAACTAGACCAGGTTGCTCAGAGCCCCGTCCAACCTGACCTTGAATGTTTCCAGGAATGGGGCATCCACCACCTCTCTGGGCAACCTGTGCCAGTGCTTCACCACCCTCAGTGTAAAAAATTTCTTCCTTATATCGAGTCTATACCTACCCTCCTTTAGTTTAAAGCCATTCCCCTTGTCCTGTCGCAACAGGTCCTGCTAAAAAGTTTGCCGCCATCTTTTTTATTTTGCTTAGGATCATTTCTGAGCTTAGGGTGGCATTGATACGAGTGCTTTTCTGCCCTTCCATTACAAGGCACCCAGGGTTGTTTCTTAAACACATGTGGGTTTGTCCCCTGCAATGGACGCAAAAGGGAGTAGTTTTTCCTCAGCTGAAATTCTGCTGCTGTTGCAATCGCTCTGCACTGTATTTTGTTTCTTCCCCGGTGACACTAACTTCCTATGTGGCAGCCCTGAGGCAGCCGCGCCAGGCACGTCTTGCCACTCCGAGGCGGTGAGCAGGACCAGACCAGCAGCAAATGGATACCATGCCCCACGGGCACCTTTGTCCTTTGCTGTTTCAAACTCTGGTGACAAATGGAGCGAGACGAGCAGCGAAGACAGCCCACACTCTCAGCCTGGCTGCAGCATCTCCCCCCCGTGGGGTGAGCGTCGCTCCTGGGGAGAGCGGCTGCCTCTCTCCGGTCACACACCCACTTACGTCGTCTCTCTCCTGCCCGCAGCTCCTCCACCCTGTAGACAGAGAGCCGGTTCACCCCTCCGCAGATGGAGCCCTTTTCCCCCTTGCACTCGCTGTTGCACTCCTCGGGCTTTGAGGCAGTCGCTGGGAGCTTGTTCCCGCAGTAGCACTCTGCTCCGTACGCCAGGCCCGCGTAGGTGTAAGCCCTGCGGGGAGCAAAACCAGGTGCTGTTGGTACCGGCACCCCATCTATTCCCGAGTTTATACCTAATGAAGGCAGGAGCCTGTCCCTGTGTACGGCATACGCTTCTGCCGCCCGGCTCCAGAGATGCAGCCGGCCCCAAGGACCAGCACGGCCTCTTGGAGGCAGGCAGCCACCTTGTACCGTACCACAGGCAACAGCAGGAACTGGTGGTGGTCAGAGTCCGCCCGGCACGGCCTGCCCGGGGCCGTGGGGCAGTCCTCGGGAGGGCGGGGTGGGCTTTGCCTCCTGATGTGGGTGTCTGAGCGACCGCCCTGTCCCTGGTCATGAGGACGTGCTGGTGCCGTTCCCGCAGGAGCACAGCTTGCCTTCACCCACCCGGCACTGCGGATGTGATGGCCTCGCCGCTGGGGGTGACGCCACCCCGACCCAGAGCTACCACTTGAGGTTTTGATCAGAAATATTTAGGACGGTTTAGAGTGACAGAGAAGAAAAGCCCCTTTCAGAGGTTCTGTTAACTGGCATTTGAAATTGGGCATTTTGGATCCAGTCAGGCAATTTTCAAATGCTCAAACCAAGGCAAGGCCATTGCTCGAACAGCAGGCCCAGGGCTCGCTGCCTCTCCCAAGGTGCCCAAGCCGTGGCCTGCTTCCCGCCACCACGCTGGCTCCAGGAGCGGTCGCTGCTGGCCACCAACGTCTCCTACACTGCGTGAAACCACCGTCCAGTCTGGGTGGATTCGTGACACGGGAGCCGACGCTTGCATCGAGGCGGCAGCCTGTGGTCGCGGTGTGCAGACCCTTGGGTCCCCTTTGCAGGGCGAAGCGCTCCCTTGGGCCTCTCACACCAAAGGCAAGCATGCATTGTGCCCACGCAGGGTGCGTGAGGGTCCCACCGGCCAGACCCCACATCTGACCCCTCTGCTGGCTGCACCGAGCCAGGGCCTGGCTCCGTGTCCTCTGAAAAGTGTCTGACCAGGCCTGACGGTCTGTCCATCTGAGATGAGAGTACTGTTTCCTTCACCCATGGGACAGCTCTGTCTGGAGCATCACTGTGTGTCTGTAGGGGTCTGGGCTGGAACAGGGGGGTCTGAAAGCCAGCAAGATGGGGTTAAGCTGCAGTTTGGGCACGCCTAAAGTGATGGGTTCCACGTGCACTGCATTGCCCTACGGACCAAAGGAAGCAAATTTCACAGGAATAGCTCTAAATTGCATCGTTTCTTCTGCTTTCTCTTGTGCTTGGGAGCAACGGGAAGTCCTTTTCATAAATAATTTCGTATAGTCCTGTCCCAGGTACTAATGATCGTCCCTGGCCCGAACCCTGTCTTGGATGACCAGGGCAGGCAGAGTGGTGGCAGGAGCTCTGCCTGCCTGTTCCTTGCTGGCCGGCAGCTCCCCGGGCTGCGCTGGGAATGGCCCTGCTCCCTACCGCACACCCGGTCGTATTTCTCTCTCCTGATTCTGGGAATGCTAGTTTGTTCATAGTTTTTAAAATATTTTAGATCAAAGATTTGGCCTAGAGGGCAATATCTAACAAATATCTAACAAAGATTATCTAACAAAACAGTAATTTTTGACCGGGACAACAGAAAATACATTGTAAGTAGCCATGCTATAATAAAGAGGATAGGCAGCAGTGAAATAGTCTACTTTAAGCAAGGTAGCAGAGCTACGCCATGCCTGAAGGTATGAGATAATCACAGTTTTCACAGATGCTATATGTTTAACATATGCATGCTTTTCCCATTTCAAGTTCAGTTCCACCTATTATCAGAAAAAACTTGCAGTGAAAAAATACCACTCACCTCTCAGCACAAGCTTCCTGACAGTGAGATACTGTCATTTTTCTTAAGTCATAAAACACAGCACCCTTCAGTGTCCTCTCCCTCGAATCATCGCTGAAGCATCCCATGTAGGTGCCTGTGTGCATGCAAGACCAGAGTTAGGCAGCGCGCATGGGATGGAGAACCGGGGAGAGGGAAAAAACCATCCAGCAGCGATTCAGTGCCATTGTTGCAAGTCACAACCTGTCTGGGGTCCTGCCTGCTCTGCAGACCTGTCCACTGGCACTGAACCTTTGTAGGTGCTATTGAAGGGGTAAGCTCATATGTCCAATGGAAATGAACAGAAGGGAAATTAGACTTTTCCCTTACCCAGGTTACTTTAAGCAGGCCTGCCTTTGTAGACCCAGAGTCTGCAACCACCCCGGAACCACGGTTCCCGCAGGCAGCTGCCGCCTGCTTGACTCCCTCCCTTTGGTGACAAAGCATGGCGAATTTCTAAAATAAAGGAGAAGGTAGTCTTCAAAATGGTATAAACTTTGAGAAATCTTGTTGGATTTCTCCAAAGTTTTCTTGAAAATCTCTAGTTGAGAATAAGATGGTGCAAGAGAAATATCAAGAAAATCAATTTTCTTTGGGTACATAGAGTTACATTAAAGCTATAATGGAAAGATAACTTCAGTCTTAACTAGGCAGCACTGTCTAGTTATCGTATTGAACTATCTCTTTCTCCAGTGCAAATGAATCTTTTAAAATATGTCTTGCTTTAGTTTGCATATAAAAGATAAATATTTCTCTCAGACTGCATCCTATCTTAAGACTCTTTTTTGTTGTCATGAACAAAATACTATAAAAATCCAGCCCGTGTTTTAATATATGATTGGAAGGATGATGTAGAGTCCCACTATTATACAACAATTGTGTGTATGTAAGTACATTTTATCATTAAAATATGAAGAAAAAAAGGAAATTTGATTTTAGAAATATTAGACAAAAACACAGGGAAATTAAATAACATGAGCTGTGGACAAAAAGGGAATATATGATGAAAGATGAAACTAAAAAGCATTATATTCACAATAAAATAATCCACAAGAAAAAGAAAGTTCAAGCCACTCTAACAGAGATTTTGGAGCTAGGAATAATAAATCAAACATTTAAGTATTACAAACACAACAGCAGATTCAAAGACCTGCACATCAGTAATTTGCAAACATGCAATTAGAAAATTCACAAGCTGTGAATATACACCCACAGCACACTGTTAACGAGATGGGAGTTGCACACCTGCAATGAGGATGTTCTACATTTTACTTGAGACTTTTGATTTGGGTACTTTGATTCAAACCAGTAGCAGCAGAAAACTCAGTGTGTGGGGCCAAAGAGCTCGAGTCAGGAGGCACGGGCAGGCCAGCCGACACAGCCGGCGTCCGCCCTCCTCCCTGCGTCCCTCCCACGCTGCTGCCAGCCCGGCAGCAATATCTCATTCACATCCTCCTATGAATGAGTCATGGAGAGACTCTGCGGTCTTAGAGCCCAATGTCATGTCATGTCAGCGATCCAGTCCCTGTCACCTCTGCACCCTGTGCAACAACATAACCAGGCCAGGGGAAACAGTATGAAACACCCCATCCGCTGGAAGCATTCGTAACAGAAAATTTTCATTTTTTACCTGACAAATTCCTGTTTTCATTTGTTGCACTAATAGTGTTTGCCAGTCTCCCTGGCGGGATAAGATGTGGTCCCTGCCCTGATGTCGTGGTTTAACACGACAGGCTTTTAGAAGAAAAAAAAGGACTTGAATTTTCTCACCCAAGGCCGCGCTGATCCTGGTGGACACAGAGGAAGGCGAAGCAAGCCAGCAGGTGTTCACAATATGCTGAGCAGATGCCATCGTTTTTGTCTCAGGTTAAGGGTCTGCCCAGGAAGACCACTGAGGGCTGGCTTGCAATCCCCGTGAACAGGCAGGGGCAGAGTGGCTGTGCCGCATCGGGAAGCATGGGCGTTATTAGGATGGCACTGATGAGGAATGCACAAATACAGCCTCCGTGGTAAGGCAATGTGTGGCTTTACTGAGCGGGAACCACAGGGCAATGCTGAAACTTTAACAAACATTGGAACTACGGAGAAGTTCATTATATCTTGGAAGGGATCCATAATGAAATAACAAGCCTGTAAGTTTACTAGGAGAAGGAGGGGGGGGAAGGTAACATGCTCTACATAGGTAGTTAAATTTTTAATTGATAGTAATTTCCAAAGGCATTCCAACACTTGTTAACAATACTGTTATTAATAATGTCACTTCATGTTCAGTCAGGTATTCAAATGATGCGTATTTGAATCAACATAATTCAGTGGGATGTAGCAATAAATAGTCCTGGCTCCTCTCAGTCAGCAGTTAGAACTTGAGCAAGGCACTAGCTTAACGGCTGATAAGGGCACTAGCCTTAACTAACTTTATGGATTATGTTCAAAATTAATCTTTTTGGTTTTAATTGAAGTTTTTAAAGAACAGGTTCGTATTCTGCCTGGTATTAGAGTAGCTCATAAAGACTCACCACTTTTTATCTATTCTTTCGCTCATCACGGGGGAAAAAAATATCACCAGACGCAAGGGGCACTAGAGCAGCCCAAGTAGCTACAGTCTGTGAAGGGAGAACCAGGCGAGCTGTCTTTACGCAGTTGGGACTGGGGAAGAGGCAAAGCCAAAGGGCTCATGGGCACTCACTGAGTTCAACAAGCCAGGTTTACTTCATGGAACCCACCAAAACTCTCCGTGCTGCCAGAGCACATGCAGCGTGGAAGTACAAATCACAGTGCATCCCGAGCAAGGGAACATAATGTGCCCTATTTTATTGCATTGCTTTCTCTCCTCCCTGGCCCCCTCAAATCTCCCAGCATGGAGCAGCAAGCCTGCCCAAGCAGCACCCCACCGGCCCCTCCTGGTTAAATCATCAGCCTCTACTGAGCAGCTGAGACCAGGGTGTCTGCTGCTTGCAAAAGAGTGAAAAAGTAATACTTCGTGAATATTAAATACTGGTTTTATGAGGTATAGGTACAAAAGTGGTAGCCTGGAGGGTTCGTATGATTCTTTTCTGCAGCTGTCCATGAAGAGCTTATTAAAGTAGGTGGGGAACAATGTCAGCAAAAGACGTATTTGCTGAAGGTGAAGGTGTGTCTTCCTCCCGCAGAGAGCTGGCGGTGTCTGCATCCAGTGCCCTTCCCAGCAGGGATGGGGATGGGGACAGGGCACCTCCCCAAAGCTTTCCACTCCCCTGCGCCAGGCTTGGTCACTGCTGCGCAGGATGGAGTAGCTGCAACCTCATGTTTCATGCTAGTCCAGGGGCTGTCATTAGGCTCTGAGCACCCAGGCTACGTGCTCGGGGCAAGTCACAAAATGCAGTGGGGTTCTGTGGGAGACATCTGCGCTTTGCAGCCTTTCTTCTCTGCCACCAAAACCTGCTAGCAACGGGATGTTATGAAGCGCCTGTGGAGCAATCTTGGAAGCTCCACCTTGGTGCTTCAAGTAGCTCCAGTGGTTACAGTTTGCCTGACTCACGCTGTGTAACCATACACCATGTAACCATACACCATCACTATCACCTTCTTGTTCCCATTTCTAACAATTCACTCAGTAGGAGTCACGAGGTGGCACCCATTTTGTGGGATTTTTGCAGAAGGTGCCCCTTTGTTTGGGTAAATTTATTCAACAAACTAAAAGAACAGTTTAGTAACGTGGTGTCTAGTCATCCAGATCCCATTCCTTTTTTTATTATCAGTGAAACATCTCCAAGAACAACTAGTTCTTCTGAAAGGCAATGGATCAAAGATTGCAAAGTCATAATTTGATGCTGCAGCCTTGAGAGCATGGTCAGTCACCTAGCTTGAATCCTGATGCTTTCTGTGTTGGGCTCCTCAAGGAGGCTCGTCTGCTCCCTGGGGCCGCTCAGCCTTCGGAGGTGACTGCAGAGTTGGGGCTCCAGCTCGCTGCTGCACAGCGAGCAGCTCAGCTGTGTAACAGCCCAACACCGTGGGCACCCAGCTTTGTGCACCTCCCCGGAGCACGTCATGGGCCCAGCGAGGGGGTGCCGTCCCAAACTCACCTGGGATGATGCAGCTCTCTCTGGTGGGTCATAAGGGTATAAAGCCATGCAGGAAATGTGAACATCTACAGATTGCTGTTTTGCTTCTTTGCTTGGTCTGGATAATAGTTTCTTAAAAGCTTTCCTACTGAACAAACCAAAGCAGTCCATGCACATATTTATCAGCAGCAGTTAGGGCAGCAGCATCAGGCTCACAGTGAAGTGAACTCAGATTTCTGTCAAACCTGAATGGCTTTCCATTTGCACTGGAAAATGTACAGTTTTGTATGCTGTGCTCTGGCCGCTGATGGACTGCATCCGTGCAGCGGTGTGAATTCCCCTTGCATTCCCCTTGGCCTGTTGCAAATTTCCAGCAAACTTGTCAAACACTAGGAGTTTGTCTCCGATCCAGGAGTTCTCGTTTCATTGCGGTGCTGGTTTGGCACTCAGTAAGGGAAGAACGGTTGTATGGCCCACATCTTGTCCTCTTAAGGACAGTGTGTTTGCAGAGATGGTCACAGAGGGCAGGTCAGGAACAGCGAATGTGTTTGCAATAACAGAATTTAGTATACGCTAGAAAGCTGTAGCAGCAAGGAGGCACTTGTAGACTTAAGGTATTGTGTGGTTTTGGATAGTTAATTTAATAAAACCCGCTTTTAAAGTGTTCCCTGTTCTGAGAAAGAAAATCAATTAAACAGTGTTCACCTCTGCCTGCTTGAAGAGAAAATAATTTAAATTAGGGAAGCATATTTCACTGTCTGGGCTTCCATTCAATCAATAAAAATACATTTTTGGAGGAAGTTACAGCTCAGCATAACCAAGGACGTCAGGATCGTACTTTGGCCTGTGCATACACTTAAGAACTGGTTTGGAAGTGGTGATGAGCCAGGAGGAAGGCATTTCTGCAGGCAGACTTTGTGGTGCTTGCCAGTCTGTGCCTGGGACAGTCTAGAAGGAGGTGCAGTTTATGTGCGTGCCAGAAAATGGGGCAGGGGTACATCCCTTACCTTTGTGTTCAGCAGTGTGCTTCATTGCTTTAAATCCCGCTGTTTGCATGGGCTCCTGATCGCTGATGAACCTGTGAAACCACCTTCTTCTCAACTGCCTGAGCTCTGAGTTGCGGGACATGAGCCACCGCGGGCTGTGCTGCGGATCCAGGGCCGGCTCCTGCAGCGCGTCCATGCCCACCAGCAGCCTGGGACCGGGGTGGGGGTTTTGCAGCGTCCTGGGGTCTACAATCCCAACCCCGGCCATCCCGTCCGGCACCAGCAGGGCCTGATTAGCAGAGGTCCCACGTGAACCTTGCTGGATAACCAAGCGGGTCCGCTGTAGCAGCAGGAGGCTGCCAGCCATCAGATAAGCTGCTGTGAGGAAGAAGAGCAGAAACTGGGTCCGACGGAGAAACTTCTGTAGCCTGAAGAAAGCTTTGGCCATGCCCTTGCTGAAACCGGGCCCTTCACGCCTCCCAACGGGCACCTGAATCTCCACCTGGCTGGCCGCTGGTTCCTCCCATAAGTTCAGCCCATCACTTCGGTGCCTTCTCCCAGTGAAAAGCCTTCTCCCCGGTTGGCTGTGGCAGAGAAGGCAGCCTGGTGTGGCACAGCTGCCGGCCTCAGGCACCCGGCTGGCCAAGGGGCTCTGCACGCACGCGGGGTGATGCCATCATGGTGCTCTGCTGAGCTGCAAAACAGCCAATGCTCAAACCTGAAATACCAAGGGAGGAAGGTTGGTTCACATCCAAAGAGAAAATACTCATCATCAGGGTGACTTCCCCCCCCCCTTTTTTTTTTCAGCTGAGTGTTTCTCCATCTGTTGATTATAATTATGCACTTTAAAAACTATAATCCAATGAGAATGATTGATTAAGCAGAAGCTAGTTTCAGATCTTCAGCCTCACTTTTTTTTTTTCCTTTCTTTTAACTTGGCATGCACAAGAAACACCTTTATGATGAGGTTATTTCTCTTGGGATATTTGGAAAAAAAGTTCTTTATTTTCTTTTGTCAATAGCCGACATCTCCATTCTTTGTCACTGGCTGGAACAGGCAGCCACAGTATAGGCGTCTTTTTAGGAAGGTATTATCAAATTCCTTCCTTTCACTGAAACAGTAGCTAAGCTACAAATGCAGATCAGAAGGAAACAGCAGTGTGGGTGTGTGGGGAAAAAAAAGAAATTGCATCAACTCACAATAGATAAGATAATAATTATTAATCTCTGCAGCACAATAAAGTCAGGCTTTATGCTGGAAGGATGTCTGGGGGTTGTGTACTTAAACACAGCGCTGTGTGAGTTGCTGTGCATATCACTTTAAAAGAAACCAGAGATCCTGCTATTTTTTTAGTAGATTTCTATTGCCAAATATTGACGTGTGGATGTATGGACAAAGACTCCTGAATGTTTGAAAAAAAATCATGTCAAGTTTCACCAGATATCTCTTGACTGCTTCTAAGCTTTGCAGGCTTTACTTGTGCTGATGTATACCATGATGGGATTGTCTGGGCAAGAAAAGCTCCTTTGTGCTCCAGGGAACCTTTAACCTCCCGTAGCAAATAAAAGCTGGCATCTCCCCATAAGTTCCTGTTTTCCCAGTCAATCACTTCTCTGTGGAGCCAGGCAAGCGTTGACAAAAGATGCAGTGTTTTCCAGAAAAGAAAATATTATGGCTTTTGCTTAACTTGCATTTGGGGCACACTCTTGAAATCCACAGTCATGGCAAAGAAACATCCATTCACTGTATTTCTTGTTTCAGTATCTGATTTAAAGTTTTGTGGATATTCACTTATGCCTCTTTCTTAAATAGATGCTACCAATTAAGTGTCCACCCATTCCCTTTTTCATTTAGTTGTGCAACTTCTTTCTATCTTAACCAGCAATCAAAAACAAAGCCCAAAAAATTCTAGGCCCAAAATATATTGAAGCTCAGCTGAATCTTTTATCAATTGAGCCTGAATTCTCTTTGTGTGACCTTTCAGCCTTGATTGCTAAACGGGGTTGGCACAAGGCAGGAGTCCCTGTCTTCTAATCTTACAAGTCAGGTGGTCTTGAGGACCTGATTTAGATGCTTTTTCAAAATTTTTTTGTTAAGGTTAATGTATGCTGGTCTCAGTTGTATAGGGCTGAGTAATATCCAAAAATATTCTATGTGTTTATCTCTACACTTTCTCCAAGAGCTCAGTCTGACAAGGACTTCCTACTCTCTTTCCACCAGTACCTGTGGATCTGTTAGCAGCCAGTGAACTCAAGAGAGCAAGCAGGTGCAAAGGGCTACGAGGCTGTAGCATGCTGTAGTAAATTAAGACCACTTTCTCCACTGTAAAAGTTACCACAACTCCCTTCTGATCAGCTCCAAAGCCAAAGAAAATGCATTGATTTACACCAGCTGAAGAGCCGACCCTTAAAGTTAAATTATTGAAAAATCTTTGATCAACGTTGTGAGTGCTCAAGAATTACAGTAAAAGGGTCAGAAGTACCTAGACAGATGAACAGGAAATTAGCCATAATTAGATACTGCAGATTGTTACAGCGCTAATTTATCTGAAGAACTACTGTCTATCAGCACAGGTGTGATTTGATTCACTAGTTGTTCCTAACATGGGGCTACTGGAAACTTGAGCTATTTCCAAAAGAGGCTGTCTAATCTAAAAGAAGGATGCGTGCGTGTATTAGCCATTTGAGATTCTGACTGGGAAATTACCATGCTCCTTACAGCATACAGTATTTTGAGTTAAGGCTTGGCCAACGGATGAGGCAGCTGCACGCCGTGGTGGCTGATGGCTGAGCAGACAGCACACTGTTCGAGTTGCCATCTCGAGTTGCAAAGGGATGGCCCTTCTTAGTAAAACGCTGCTGCAAAGCCTCATCGGTGAGATGATAATGGCTGCAATCACATAGGTATTCAAAAGGTTTAAGATTTCCCTCCCCCCCCCAGCAGCAAGATGAGGCTAGATAAATTTATCAGACTTGCAATCATTTTTGCCCAACTGTAATTCAGGGTTTCATAGCTCTTTTGGTTTACTCACAAAGCGATCAAGTTACAATATCAAGAAATGCTTTGAGCCAAAGTTCTCAAGCGCGTCCAAGTCATTTGCATTGGAAAGGCAGTGCTGCAGCAGCCGGGAACCTTTAGGCGTTGCTAATAAGCGATGGCGAGTGGCAACTTGGATGGAGAAGGACCATCGAAACCGTGTAGCGGAGGTCGGGCTTGTTATGCTTGAAACTGCATCAGTGGCCCAATTTAGTCCCTTTTAATGCCACCGTGTGCTTGAGTCTTTCAGTAGATTTCAGTCGAATTTCTCCATGTTTGCAGTGATGTAAAGCAGAGCAGCTGGATCCATGATCCATGGATCCCCATGACGAGAGGATCTGCCACTTGTCTGGGCAGCACATGGCGATGCCTCCTCATGCCAGGGGAGACAGGTCTGGCCACTGCCTGCCCAAACAATGCCTGTGTGGGGTGCGATCGCTGCCTCCCACGTTAGCAGGATGAAAAGCCTACTATGCATCAGCAGAACTAGGGTAACTGCCCAAGATATTGGACCTAATTTAAGTATGCAGCAAGCTCTGCATCCAAACACCAAGAAACATTTGGTATTGCTCCTGTTGCTCTGCCTAGTTTATTTATTTATTTACTAAGAAGAAGCTGCTTCTGGGTCTCAAAAGGCTAACTTTGCCTTTGCCTAGTGGTGGAAAAAGTTTAAATTGTACAAGCCAATTTTACTGCAGTCAATATGACATATATAAATTACCTCCAGATGCATTCGCCCTCAGTACAGTTGCCATGACAGTGCATTGTAGTAAAAACCAACCAAATAAATAAGCAGACTCTCCGCCCACAGCAACCGCTGCAAATGTGCAACTCAAAAATTAAATGTTCCTTTTTAGTGGGAAAATAGCAGAGTGCTGCTGACATAAAAAAATGTCATTTGATTTTTCCATAAACTGCATATTGCAATATCATCAAAGTATGCCTAAAAGAATTGAAGTGCATCACTTCTGATGATGATATTAAGAAGGAAAGAGTAAGGAGGATATGAACTAGTATCTGGTAATAGAAAATGTATCATTTGTCTTTTTCATACGTTTCACTTAAAATGAATGAAGTGAAATGGAAGAAAAGTAGAGTCTTCTGTTCCTGTTTATCAGTTCTCACAGCCAAAGGGGTTTTAGGACCATATTAATAGAGAGTTGAGTTAGTCAGTAAAATCATAAAACGATAATTGAAAGGACTTTGAGATGGGCAATGAGAACTGTTAAACAGCAGAGAAGACCTCTAGGTGAAGAGAACAATGAAAGGGTTAACTCTGCAACAAAAAAAAGGAAAATAATTAGCACTGGCAAGGATCAGCTCTGGAGATGGTGCGTGGTAGTACAGAAGATCTGCTGGGTGCTGTGCCTTCAGCAAGGAAAGGATCCCTTGCACCATTAAAAGGTGGTGCATCTGGTGGCTGCGTTTTTATAAAATGGGTAATTATCTGGTTACTGAGGGCAAGAATTTGATGGGGTTCAGAAAAGCATTGAGTGATCTTCTTTTATAAAATATGAATTTACTCACTTTATAGTGACAGGTGGATTTTTAACTGTTCAGAAGTCAGATAACCATTCAGTTGTTTGAACAGCATTTTTAGCTGTTTGTGCCTGAATTTTTTTGTCCAGAAGCGTCATTAGAAAAAATAGTTTGAGGTTTTTTTCTGTAAGACCTATATATATATACCAGCAGGACTGAATGCAGAGCTGGAAAATGCATCTTACCTGAAATCCCAGAATCTCAAAATATGAATCTGTTCCAATCTGTTTCCTAAAATGGGCAATGCTGCAATTCTTCTCACTGTCTCTGGGAAAGCAAACATCTTAGAAGAAAGATTCCTCTAAATTTGGCATGACTTGATCACCAGTGGATTTGCTGGCTGGTGGCCAAGTTTTTGGACCACTGGTGAAATCCTCCCAAGCGCTGTTGCAGGTGGGTTATTTGTTTATTCAGGTGCCGTCAGGCGTCAGAGTGTGTGGTGCTGGGTACCAGCTGTAAGAGATGCTCTCCCAAAGGTTTTGCATGAATCTGCAATGCTCGGATAAGGCATGGTCCTACCAGCACCCACAGAAAAGCTGCTTTTCTTTCCTGCAACTTTCCTGCAGGCCACATTGCTCAGAGCCTGCTCCTGTGGGGTCTTGCCATTGCTGAGAAGGGCGGGGTGGCAGAGACAGCAATCCTTGAGGGGACTTTAGTGGTATCCTCTGAAATGAGCTCTGGCAGCCACGTAGCACCCAGCTCCTCTGAACGCGCCCGTCAGCAGGCAGCCGGCCGTTTTCGAGGGGATGTGAGCCCCCTGGTTGAACTCACTGCAGACGCTAGGAACAGCCGCTATGCCTGGTCAAGGCTATTGTATCTTTGTAGAGCTCTATCAATATTTCACAAAAACGATGTGGTTAACAGGTAGGGGAACACCTGCACCATTGACATGACTGTAGGGAGCTCTTTTTGGAAGGAGGCAGAGAAGCAAGTTGTCCGTGTGTGCTACTCATTTCAGCCACTCTGGAAATGTAGCCCTCTCTTGGTGTCTTTGCAATGCTGCAAAGTTATGCACAGTGTTGAGAAATGCCAGAGCACAGATTGTGAACTCAGCACCTTGCATCTCAGAGTGCACTGATGGGACGAAGCGCCAGACCCAAGGCATTTCCAATTTAAAGTGCTGGTTTTCCTTTAATCCTTATTTTTCTTTCATTACATATATAATACCAGATTTATAACTGCCATTACAAAGTTGGTATAAGGAAAAGCAGGTCAGTACCTTGCTTCCAAAGTGATCTTGTAAAGTGTGACAGAAGATGTCATACTAGGCAGCTGTATTAATATATTTATAAAGAGAAATAGAAGAAAAATTGTAAATTTCTTGGCAATTCTACTCTCCTAGCTAAAGGAGTAGTTACAGAATTTTTAAGGGAAGACTGAATACTTTCAGTGATGCTATGAAAGCCGGTAGAGGCTGAAGACACTAAAGAACAGCCCCAGACTTGCAGGTGAAAAGTTGCTCAGTTGAGGGCTGTCCCTTAACAGGTTGCTCAATGCAGAAACTTAGGTCAATACTGCATTGACAGCTGCAGCTCATCAATAGTTGATCTTGTCTAAAGACCAACAGCATTTTGCAAATTCAGAGTTCTTGGCACGGAAGCAAGACCATGTTTTCTATTGTAAACTGAAGGGAATTGGACTCACGAACACTATTTTTAGAAAAATCCATCCCTCTTCCACATTTCTCCTCTCTTTTGTCAGCTTTCTTTGAGGACAAATGTAGTCAGTTAGGACCTAGCTGAAGGATTCTGGCTCGCAGCCTTTCTTTTGCATACACACTGCCATTTTCTTGAGGCTGTTTGGAAAGTCAAGGCCAACATCATATTGTGTGAATGCATGTAGGAAGAAAAACTCTTGAGAAGCCATAAATTTAATGTTGGGATCCTGTCAAATATTTGCAATTCCCTTTATTCTGACAGCTAAAAGCACCCTGAGTAACCCTGAGTATCTGCCAGTGTCGGTCCCAAGACGGCAGACAGCAAGAGCT